AGGAGATTGAATCCATCCTGGCCAACATGGCGAAACTCCATCTCTACTAAAATACAAAAAATTAGCCGGGCATGGTGGAAAATGCCTGCAGTCCCAGATACTCGGGAGGCTGAGGCAGGGGAATCGCTTGAACCCGTGAGGCAGAGGTTGCAGTGAGCTGAGATCACACCACTGCACTCTAGCCTGGCAACAGAGCAATACTCCATCTCAAAAAAAAAAAAAAAAAAAAAATGGCCGGGCGCGGTGGCTCAAGCCTGTAATCCCAGCACTTTGGGAGGCCGAGACGGGCGGATCACGAGGTCAGGAGATCGAGATCATCCTGGCTAACACGGTGAAACCCCGTCTCTATTAAGAAATACAAAAAACTAGCCGGGCGAGGTGGCGGGCGCCTGTAGTCCCAGCTACTCGGGAGGCTGAGGCCGGAGAATGGCGTGAACCCGGGAGGCGGAGCTTGCAGTGAGCTGAGATCCGGCCACTGCACTCCAGCCTGGGTGACAGAGCGAGACTCTGTCTCAAAAAAAAAAAAAAAAAAGATAATTTTTTTCAGGACCTCAAAACTTCTCCTTTGAAACACTTTGATTAAAAAATGAAAAAATATATGCATGCATGAACCTAGAGGCAAGTCTTTTTAGAAAACATAAAATATTTTAAGTAATGTTTTTCTGAACAGAATTGGCTCTAATGTGTGAGAGGTCTATGAAGATTAGCCTCTTGCTACTTTATGTTTTAAAGTATATTCCTTGAAACCCAAAGTTTCTGACTTTAGAAAACAACTCTCAACTACTATCGGCTATCCTCTAGACACTTTCAAAATCCTCTAAAACCTAATAGTGGTGCAAGATTTTGTCTTTCCTAGTGATAACTAGATTTAAGTAAGAAAATGCTAAAGACTAAAAAGTGTTTAGGACCCACAAGAAAGGTATAATTCTGTTCCTCATAGAGATATTTTAGTTACACACTTCTTATTCTGATCCTCCCCAAAACATAGAAATCTAGAGTTGGCATTTAAAGAGAAAATGAGATTTTTGTCTGGAAACAGGAGAGAAAAGTTTTCAAGAAGTATAGAAAGCATATGAAAGGGCACAAGGTTTGAAATGGCCTGTACTCATGAGAGAGTGCAGAATACACATGGGTGTGGAGGAGCCTGGAAAGAATGGAGAGAGGTAAGGCTGGAGTATCAAGTCTGGTTCAGAGTACACAGCATAAAATCCCATACGAATGTAGAACATGAGGAGCCAATAACCATTGTGTGAGAAACACAGGGAAAAGAGGAAGAAAAAAGTCCACATAGTGTACTTACAGTCAAAACAATCCTAGGAGGTGACTTACATGTATCGTGTCATAAAATCCGTGACACAATTCCATTAGATGGGTACTGTTTTCATAGTTACACAAGTGAAAACTCTTGAGGGTCAAGATGTTCAGTGTAGCAGGCATAGTATAATTTCTTGGCTCAAGATGCCTCCAATGTCAGTGAACATTACTTTCCCAAGACTGTCTATTTAGGAAATAGTAAGGCCAATTGTCTATGAAGGAAGTACTGTTATAATCGCCATTTTACAGAGGAGTAAATGGAGATTCAGAGAGGTTAAGTCATCTGACTATAGTTACACAGCTACAAAAAAAAATAGAGCAAGGATTCAAATACAGCAATCTGGTCCTGGAAAGCCTAAATATTCTACCCTGCTTTCTGATGCAGAGCAATTTCCTGCTTTTCTCCCTTCGATAGAAAAAAATGTATGTGTATGGGGTTGGGGGCAAATAAATTGACTGGCTATATTTTCTCTCTTTAATATTTGATCTTTCATTGTCTGCCCCAAGCAGTGGGTCTTCCTCCTTTATCTTCTTCTTGTGAAAATAGCTAAAATCACCTAACTGGTAAAAACCTAGGCAGGTTTTGTGTTCTAGCCTCCATTCTTCCAGTCTAATGGGTGGTTGTTAAATTTTGGTACTCATTGTATGTAGAAGACCTCTAAGTTCGCTAAAGAGCTTACTGCACATTGATTTTTTTTTTTAGATTCAAAAGGAATCAATTGAGCACCTCCTATACTCCAGGACATGTGCAAGATGCAAGAGATAGAGCAGTAAAAAAGTCTGATACGGTTTTCCCTCCCTTTCCCAGCTGTGTACAGATGTTCTTCAGGTAGTAAATGCTGGAGAAGAGGAGACCAGAAATACTGGCCTGATGGGTCTATAGATGAGATTATCTGCCCATGACTGGTGCAGAGATGGCTGCATTGCTAGACCTCTCCATCTTCCTCTGAATGTGTCCTCTAATTTATTATCCCAGTGGCATATTTAGTCATCATGAACCATCCTCCCTTTTTGAGTCTCAGGCCCTGGTCTTGCTTTTCAATAGACTCCCTCCCTCTCTTCCTTCCTCCTTCCTTCCCTGACTGCTTGACTTCCTGACTTCCTTCCTTCCTTCCTTCCTTCCTTCCTTCCTTCCTTCCTTCCTTCCTGCCTTCCTGCCTTCCTGCCTTCCTGCCTTCCTGCCTTCCTGCCTTCCTGCCTTCCTGCCTTGTCTTGCCTTGCTTTTCAATTGATTCCCTCACACCCTCCCTTCCTCCTTATTTCCTCCCTCCCTCCCTGACTTCCTGACTTCCTTCCTTCTTTCCTTCTTCTTTTCTGTCTTTTTCCAAACGTGCTTTTCAGGAAACAGTGATCTGCTTGTTGAAGTCTGATAATTTTCTACTTCCTCATCCTCCACTCTATTGAAATTTAGTGTGACATGATCATTTCCACCTCATTAGGTACTTCTTTCATGGTCAGAAGTAAGTCTGGAGAAAAAAAAAAAATCTCTTGTTTTTGCTCTCATTTGAGGGTCAAATTTTCAATAAGTCACTTTTTAAAAAAGCATTTTCTGACACTTCCCATAAGCTTGAAATCCTCCTAAACTGCTGTATATTGCCTCCGTATACATTGTGTATCTATTTTAGGAACACTCCATCCACATTTGCCAGTCAGCCTGGTGTTCTGCAGTTAGTTCCTACAGTGATATTTTAATTTAGCTCTCTTTTCATCCTCACACATGCATCCTCTCTGGATATTTAGCTCCTTTCCTGGAATCCCTTTTAAGATTTCTAGATCTTGTTTGCTTCCATGATTTCTTCTCCTGGACTGTGACACAAAACGCTATTCTTTCTTTACATTACATTTAATTCTTTCTAGAAAGAGCCTCAGAGTAGTCAGATAGCTTTGAGAAACAAAATTTTTTCTTTATCGCCTCAGTGTTACTGCCTTTGAATCATTATTTCTTGACATAAATTTCTTTATTCTATCTGATACTTAAAACACTATTTTTTTCTGTCTGCATTGATCAATATTAGTTCCTTCATTCACAGAAAACTGTTAGTGTCCCTGAGAAGCTTGAAAGACAAGAAACATTCTTCCATTCTACTCATCTTCTTCTCTAATGAGGAGACAACCTTAAAAACACAGTTACATGGCCATAAAAATTAATGAATGGCTACCTCAGAATGAAAATTCAATGTCTCATTTTTTTTTTTTTTTTAGTGTTCTTAGAATATTTCACTAGTTGTCCATGACTCTGAGTCTCCTGTTGAGATGTCTTTTGCAGCTTTCCTTGAAACCTTTTATTCCGAACTACATAGTCCGATAATTTTGCCACCGATCTTCTGGTTATATTATGCTCCTGAGTTCATTGTCTATAAACTTGATTAGGTATTCCTTCCCCTCACCACTCACCTCTGATAACCCAGCTGTGTGTTGGTATTTAGTATGAATTCACACCAGCAAGTTCAGCCCTTTTCAATCAATGTAGGGCCACACAGAGACCTTTGACTGACTACTCCCGAAGTATTTCACATTTTGGGGACTTATCTCCAGTTTTTCACCACAGTTGTTCATCACTGTGTTTCTTACTAGCCAAATGTTTATAAAAACATTAATACCTAACATTATTGATTACCTTCTATAGTGTCAGGTGCTGTAATAATATTATTGTGATGATGATTATGCTGTTGTTTCTGGCATTGTCATACATGTGTTGCTTGTACTACTCATTGAATCTACACAACTGCCCTTATGACATTTACCCTATTATTATTCCTCTTTTAAGGTAAATATATGAAAAATGCTTCCCACTTTGCCTTGCTTACTGCTAGTGTTGAACAAATGTTACAGCTGAAACTTAGAGAGGTTATGTGGCTTAACCAAGGTCCCAGAGTTCCTAAGGCAGAGAGTAGGATTGTCTACCAAGCATTTTGATTCTAGTACTATACATCTTAACCATTATCATAGGCTGACTTGCTCTACAGTGTCCAACACTATTCATATTACAATTTATTTAACAACTTTGAAACAGTGTTTCATGTCTAAATAGAAGAACTAGCTCTCATTTTTAAGAAAATATTGTCTCTCGGTTTTTCTTCGCTGCTAGCCAGTTTACTAACAATTTGAAATAAAAAGAAAAAAAATATGATAAACTGCTCCCAGTATAAAATACAGAGCTAAGACAAGAACATTTCATTGACTTTGATTTCCCTAGGGTCCAGCTCTGAATTAATTTACTTCCTGTTCAAGAGAATTTTAAGTCAGAAAGAAGATCTTATCCCATCTTGTTTTGCCTTTTTTTCCCCTTGAATGAAAAAAAATAAGTAAAATTTATTCCCCTGGCAAGGTCTGAAAACTTTTGTTTTCTTCACCACTTCCGCAATGTATATTATTGTTATTGAGAAGACTTATTTAACTTAAATTACTTGTCCAGGCACGAGAATGAGCAAAATCATTTTTTTAAAAAAGTGTTAAATGTATATTAATGAAAAGATTGAATCTTTTAATTTTCTACCATGTATTGCTGAACAAAGTATCCACATTGTTAGAAAAAGATATAGAATGTCATGAATAAGAGTTTGGCTCAAATTGTTACTCTTCAATTAAATTTGACTTATTGTTATTGGAATTGGCTCTTTAGCTTGTGTTTCTAATTTTTCTTTTTCTTCTTTTTTCCTTTTTGCAAAAAACCCAAAATATTTTAGCTCCTAGTCAGACTGTTACTCTGGTGACACAACCTGTGGTTACTAAGGAAACTGCCATCTCCAAACTAGAAATGCCATCTTCCTTGATGTTGGAGGTACCTGCTCTGGCAGATTTCAACCGGGCTTGGACAGAACTTACCGACTGGCTTTCTCTGCTTGGTCGAGTTATAAAATCACAGAGGGTGATGGTGGGTGACCTTGAGGATATCAACGAGATGATCATCAAGCAGAAGGTATGAGAAAAAAATGATAAAAGTTGGCAGAAGTTTTTCTTTAAAATGAAGATTTTCCACCAATCACTTTACTCTCCTAGACCATTTCCCACCAGTTCTTAGGCAACTGTTTCTCTCTCAGCAAACACATATTACTCTCACTGTTCAGCTTAAGTATAATCAAGGATATAAAGTAATGCAATTAACAAAAGTAGCCATACATTAAAAAGGAAATATACAAAAAAAGCAGAAACCTTACAAGAATAGTTGGCTGAGTTAAATTTACTAAACAACCTGGTATTTTAAAAATCTGTTTTATACCAAATAAATCACTCAACGGAGCTATTTGCATTTAAACTGTTTGTTTTGGCACTATGCAGCCCAACATATTGCAGAGTCAAATATAATAGTCTGGAAATTGATTATTATCCTCTCTTCTAAGTTGTCTGTGCCAATTTTCCTCCTCCAGTGATAAGGATTATTGAAAGAGAGATATAAATTAAAAAGAGAAAAGTAACAAAACATAAGATATTTTAAAATACCCTAGATCTTAATGTTGGCATTTACGCAATGCCATGTTCAAATGAACGTGTTTTTAATACAAATAGTTCATTTTTCAGCCTCAGTGTAATCTATTTGATAAAATTATGACATCAACTAGAAGCATTAGAATATATTTATGTAAATATGGTTTACGTAACTAGATCAAATATACTATACATCTTTTATATATGTGAATGGTTAAGAAAAATAATTTTGGAATTGTTATACATTAAAGTTTTTTCACTTGTAACAGCTTTCAAGTCTTTCTAAAGAAATAGGAAGTTGTGCTGAAGGTATTTAGGTATTAAAGTACTACCTTTTGAAAAAACAAGAAGTGAGGCAGACAGAGTAAGGGGAATTTCTTTGTAAAATAAATTTCAGCAATTCAGTAGGAATAAAGTAATTTGATAGTAAACAACCTGCATTTAAAGGCCTTGGGCTTGAATACAGAAGACCTGAATTCAGTGCCATTTGCAAATGATGACTGTGGTCAAGCCATCTCTGGATCTTGGTTTCCTATTCTGAGTACAGAGCACACAGAATACACATTCACATTCACAATATAGTTATGGATATGGATGTATATAAATATATGTAAATACCACATATATGTACATGAAAATTTGTTTTCCTTTTGCTTTATAAAAAGTAATTATAGCCACATTTTTCAGAAAACGTAACCGAGGCTCATAGATATCAAATTCCCAGTAAGTAGCAGAACAAGGATTCAAATCCAAGTCCGTTTGATTCCTAAGCCAGTGTTATTACTTGATACATATACTGCAGGCAGTACATGTATCAAGTAATACATATACTACAAGTAATACATACTATTGCTGCAGTAATAACTGTAACTGCAATTACTATTTAGTGATTTGTATGTAAATGTAGATGTAGTCTATGTCAGACACTATGCTGAGCATTTTATAGTTGCTATGTACCGATACATACAGAAACAAGAGGTATGTTCTTTCACAATATCATATTGAGTTATATAATACTCCCAGGACTTTTATTTACCAAAGGAAACAATATTTTATAACATTTAAAGCCCAGGTTTTGAAGTTAGATTGTTTGGGTTCAAAGCTGGGCTCCCAAGCTGTGTGACCTTGAGTAAGTTATTCAGCCTCCCTGAGCCCAAGTTTATCTATCTATAAAATGTGGATAGTTGTACTATCTGCCTTGCAGCTTGTTATCAGAATTAAGTTTGTTGGTACATGAAAAATGCTTCCCACTTTGCCTTGCTTACTGCTTACTGCTAGTATTGAACAAATGTTAGTAATTATATTTGGTTCCACCACGAACTCTAGAAATCTAACCAATGATGGCATTTGTATTTGCAAACTGTATATCACATCATAATACTATATGGAAATGAGAGCTTGTTTCCACTTCTGTACCCTATTCTAACATTGACATTATAGCTTCCTGCAGAAGTTACCTAATAATAGATTGGGAGAGAAAGTCCACACTTCCTTGTGACAGGTTTGTGGGTCTTGCATTTAGGGAAGCCATTGATATGCTCAGTAATCTCCAGAGTTCTCTAAATAAATTTGTCCTTTTCAGAAAGGACTACTAATTTCATGCCGCCTCGCAGAGATTGTCTTTAAATATAGGTCAAAAACTAACGTAGAGGGCCAGGTGCAATTTTTCACGCCTGCAGTCCCAGCGCTTTGGGAGGCTGAGGCAGATGGATCACTTGAGGTCAGGAGTTTGAGACCAGCCTGGTCAACATGGCAAAACCACATCTCTAATGCAAATAAAAAAATTAGCTGGTGTGGTGGCACATGCCTATAATCCCAGCTACTAGGGAGGCTGAGGCAGGAGAATCACTTGAATCCTTGACCAGAGGTTCCATTGAGCTGAGATTGCGCCATTGTACTCCAGCCTGTGCGACAGAGTGAGACTCCGTCTCAGAAAAAAAATAATAATAATAATGTAGGGGAAAAAATCAAAAGCCATTTCTGAGACACAAAAATATAGGATTTATAAATTATATATAGTATAAAAATATTTTTAAAATATTATATATAGCATATTATATATAATGATATATAATGTATATATATTTATAAAAAATCTAATCTCCCTTCTCTTGCTTGCTGAATAGTGGGATGCTTTGCCTGTCTCTTCCACTTATATTAAAAAATAATTAATAAAGACATTGTCAGTTCTTGGCTTTTATTGCCTCAATCACCAAATTGTCAGTAAAATGGCCCTAAATAATCATTAAACAAATATCTGTGAGAGGGGAAATAAGAAGGAGAAGTAAGTGTGGGGAGGATTTTATTATAATTTCAAGAAATCAATATCAATTTTATGTAAAGTTTTAAATAAAGCAATCTCAACGTTAATGTTTGATGTGTGAAAAATTAGGCAAAATTCCAAAAGGGATTTATAAACTGAAAAAAAAACTTTACTAACACCTATCCATTTTTATTATTTTAACCAACTTCTATTGAGCTGCCACTAAGTACCTGGGAAATATAAAGTTGTACAACATAGAATGTGCAGGTAAAAGAGGTTGAAGGAAGAAAATAATAACACTATGATAGAGATAAATTTTGGGATAATAGCTAACACATACTTAGCACTAATGATATGCTAGTCATTGATCTAAGTACTTCATGTGAATTCTTTAATGCTTACAACATCACTGTGAGGTAAATACAGAGGCACAGTAAGGATAATAACCTGACCGAGATCAAGGAAGAAAGAGACAATGATGAGATATGAACTCAAGCAGTTTGGTTCCATAATCCTCTCCCTTAAACCTCATAGTTTTCAACTTCTCTGATATTGTGTGAGTGATTCTGTTGGGGCTTTCTTCGGGGAAAACTAAGCCAGGAGAGAGAACAGATGCTAGTGAGATATTCCTGAAGAAGATAAAACTTAAGCCAAGCATTAAAGAATGAGTTGGAATTACCTAGCTAGATAAAACGAGAAGGACAATCCAGGCAGAGGGAGCAGACTGTGCTTTTCACTGAGGTGGAAAAAAACAGAGTATGTCATAGGAATTGTGATTCCATATGGCTGAAGTTAAGGGTATATGATGAGAAGAAATTGATGAGGTTGAATAGAGAGGACTGGGGCTAAATAATGGGAATCCTTTGTTGCCAGACTGAGGAATTTTGATGATGGCCTACAGGCAGTGGCAACCCTGAAAGGATTGTAAACAGGAAAATAAAATCATCAAATATAGTTTAGTTGCCTATCAATTAGAGCTCTCTGGATGCAAGCAACAGAAATCATTCTCTGATTAAATCAGGCAGAAAGTAAATGTGCTGTAATTAGCACAAAGGCAATGGAACAAAACTTACAAAAGGAGAAAGAATATGAGCATGCCTTTCTGGGCATGCGGCTAGCAAGAAGTATTCCAGTCTGTTTGTGATACTCTCTTTTCTCCATCCTGTGTGTAACTCTCTTCAAATTTTAAAGTCTCAGAAGAGAATCCAGTTCACCTTGCTTGGGTCACATGTTAATACATGAGCTAGAAGAGAGCAGAAAATTTTATTTAAATCCCTCTCCTCCCAAAGTCTCAAAATTAGGGAAAGGCAATTCTCCCGAATAGCAACTGGGGTCTGTTGACAATAGAAAAGGAAAAGGTTCTGACCAACCACTAAACAATAATTGTCCACTGAACTCAGTCAAGAACATGTGGAATAAGTTGGAGGACAGAGCAAATAAAGGAGATTTGTAGGAGGTAATTATTATGTTCTAAAGCAAGCTTGTTCAACTCATGGCCTGTGAGTCACATGCGGCCCAGGATGGCTTTGAATGTGACCCAAAACAAATTTGTGAACTTTCTTAAAACATGAATTACTTTTTGTGATTTTTTTTTTCACTCATCGGTTGTCATTAGTGTTAGTGTATTTTATGTGTGGCCCAGGACAATTCTTCCAATGTGGCCCAGGGAAGCCAAAAGATTGGATACAGCTGATCTAAAGCAACAGGGTCATCTACTCAACTTTGCAGCATGTAGACCTGAAATAAAGACCATCCATATACCAATACCTCAAATATAAATTTGTCTGATTATGACACGTACAAAAATTAGTTCTCAGTAAATGTAGATAGCTTGAAGGATAATGTGAATGCAATGTGATAAGGAAACTTCATATTGAACAGATTGGAATGTGAGGATTATAATTTATAATTCCAAAGCATCAGAAGTTAGATAAGATAATGCAGTAAGACATTTTATGATTCAAGGCGAAGTTAGTTATGAGATTCAGACCAAACCTTAGACACACAGAAATTGAAATATTTGCCACAGAAAGGGTATAAGGACATGACATTCAAGTAAGCTAGCCTTTTACTAGCTTTAGACTTTGAACTCAGAAAACATATTTGGTGAAAAGCTTATGGTCTCCTTTAGTATGTGTTGCTTGATTAAAGTATTATTTTAGAAAATGGTGAACTGCTCCCACGTTGAAATAAAAATAATTTTTACTAAGTGAATTATATTCAGTAAAAAA